CTCCCAATGGCACCACCACCGACTCGTCGGCTATACACTTCCTTAACTGAGACACGTGGAAGGTATCATGAATCTGGCTCAACTCCGCAGGTAGCTCCAACCGATATGCTACCTTGCCCACCCTCGCGGTCACCCTGAACGGACCGATGTATCGGGGCCCCAGCTTGCCCCTCTTCCTGAATCGGATCACTCCTTTCCAAGGAGACCACTTTCAGGAGTACGAAGTCTCCACCTGGAACTCCAGCTCGGATCGTCGCCTATCCGCATAAACTCTTCTGACGACGTGAGCCGTCAATAACCTCTGTCTAACCTGCTGTATCGCTCTGTCGTCTGAAGCACTATCTCAGTACCCATCACACGCTGCCCTACCTCTCCCCAGCAAATGGGAGTCCGACACCTCCTCCCATACAACAACTCGAAGGGAGGCATACCCAATCACTCGAATGGTGGCTGTTGTTGTCGGAAACTCAGCCAACGCCAAGTACGTGTCCCAATCTCCTCCGAGTCCAACAAAACCGCTCGAAGCATGTCCTCGAGTGTCTGAATCGTCCGCTCACTCTGCCCGTCCGTTGTGGGTGGTAGGCGGTACTGAAATGCACCCTCGTACCCAACTCCTCGTGGAACTTCTCAGAACCTGGAAGTGAATCGCACATTTCGATCTGAACATCGAGACTGTACTCCATGACGCGATACCACCTCTCTCACATACAATCGGCAGCCTCCAGCGGAAGAGCTCTCACTGATAGCAAGAAGTGAGTGCTCTTAGTCAGCCGGCGACTATCACCCAAATTGCATCGACGCCCTCGCGGTCCTCGGCAATTTGTGTAAATCCATAGGAAATCTGTTCCCACTTCCACTGGGGAACCTCAAGTGGCTGCAACTTGCAATGCGGCCGATGGTGCTCGGCCTTAAACCTGCGACAGGTCAAGCACCTCTCGACAAACCACGCGACGTCCCTCTTCCTACAGGGCCACCAATACTCTCTGTTCAGGTCCAAATACCATCTTAGTGGCCCCGAGATGGATCGAGAACCTCGATCGGTGTGGCCTCCTCCATCAAAGTGGTGCGTGTCCCGCCTGCGTACGTCACCTAAATCCGCCCCTGAAAGGTCATAAGCCCACGGCTATCTAGTAACGAACTCAGGTACCTGTCCATCACCCGCTCTCTCTTGCGGTTCTCCGGTCTCGCCTCTGCCTGGTCCTCCCGAATGGTGTCCAACACCGGAGTCATCACTGTCAATCTCAAGCAAACATCTGTTATCGGGGCATTCTCCGCTCCTACGGCTCAGGGCATCAGCTACAACATAGCTTTGCCGGGGTGGTACAGGATCTCACAATCGTAATCCTTTACCACGTCCAACCATCTCCTCTGGCGCATATTCAGGTTGGGCTGATCCCACCAAATACTCAAGCTCCTGTGGTCCGTGTGTATATGGTACACCGAACTCCATCAGATACTGGCGCCAGATCTGAGGGCGAACACCCACTGCCCCCAACTCCAGATCATTGGGTGGGATCCCTCGTCTTATGAGGCTTCAGCTGCCTCGATGCATACGCTATCACATGCCCTCTGCATAAGCATCGCACCCAATCCCGATATCGATGCGTCCAATAACACCACAAACTCCTCCATCTTTCGGGGAGGGCTAACACCGGGGCTTCGCATAATCTCGGCTAAGTGTCTCAAACGAGGTCTGCTGCTCTGGACACCACAAAAAGTAACGCAATCTTCCGGGTCAACCAGGTGAGAGGCACGACATCTTGGAGAAATCCTTGCTAAATCTCCGATAGTAGCCGACCAACCCCAGAAAACTCCTGATCTCGGTGGGAGATCTCGGCACCTCCCAACTCATCACTGGCCTCAATCTTGGTCGGATCGACCAATATCCCCTTCTGATTGACGAGATTGCCCCAAGAACTGGACCTCTCGCAACCAGAAATCACACTTGGAGAATTTGGCGTAAACCTCTTGATCTCAAACCCGAGGATCTCCCTTCAACTGCTCCTCGTGCTGCTCTCGCGACCTCGAATACACCAGAATATCATCAATGAACACGATAACCGTTGGTCCAACATCGGTTACACACCTGTTCATAGATCCATATACGCTTGCCGGTGCATTGGTGAGCCCGAAAGACATCCCACGAAACTCGTAATGCCCATAACGAGTCCTGAACGCCGTCTTCTGGATATCCTCATCACACACTCTCATCTATGATATCCAGATCTTAGATCAATCTTGGAGAACAAGACGCTCCCTGCAACTGATCGAACAAATCGTCGATCCTCGGTAATGGGTAACGATTCTTGACCGTCAACTTGTTCAACTCCCGGTAATCATACACATCCGGTGTGAACCATCCTTTTTCATGACAAAAAGGATCGGCGCTCCCCATGGCGAGCTAACTCGTCGAATTAAACCCCTTCCCAGCGCTCCTGAAGCTGCGAGGATATCTCCTACATCTCTGGCGGCGCAAGGCGATAAGGCGCCTTGGCGATAGGTGCTGCCCCCGGAATCAAATCGATGCGAAACTCCACCTGTCTTTCGGGAGGCCACCCGACAACTCCTCAGGAAAACAATCCGGGAACTCACGCACTATCGGCACATCGTCAACCAAACTTGGCCCTCGGCGGCCATTGTGAATCCATCACTAGCCACAAACCCGTACAGCCCTGCTGTAGACTCCGCCTCGCCCTAGCAGCTGAAACAAATGCTAACCCAGAACTGGGTACCCTGCCCTACACATAAGTACCCCCTACTAGGGTCGTATCATCACCAACTGTCGCTCGCATCTCTAACAGCCCTAAATCGGCTCAAACCAATCCATGCCCACTATGACACACACGTCCCCCATTACTATCGGACCAGATCTATCGGGAACTCAACACCGAAGATATCGAGTACACATCCTCGAATCACATCCGTAGCATACACCGCTCGCTCGTCAGCTATGGAAACTCGTAGAGGTCGACTCAACGCCTCTCGTCGGCTACTGATGTGCCGACTAAACGCTATCGACACAAATGATCGACTCGCACCCGAGTCAAATAACACTAAGGCAGGTACAAGAACTCACAAGAAAAGTACCTACGCATATCATAATATAAGCACAATATCTCAACTCGCATAAATAACTTAAAGAATAAATACCAGCCACAACATCGGCGCTGCGCGGACCTCCTCGCTGTCAACTGGAAAGCTATCCCGCGACCTTCGGTGCCTCGGCCTTGCTGGCCGAACCTCGGTAACCCTAGCAGCAGGTGCAAATCCCTGTTGTAACTGCGGGCACTCGGCGTTCCGATGGCCAATCTGGTTGCCAATGAAAGCAACCATAAACCCTTGGGCAATCCTTGGCGATATGCCCCTCCTTGCCACATTTGTAGCAAGCACTCCGATCGACAGACCCCATCATGTCCCTTGCCGCACTTCCCACAAGTGCGGCCCTTCTGGCCTCCAGATCTCGCATCAGCGGACTTGGCCCGCTTGGCTGCCGGCTGAGACTGTGCCGGCCGCATCCATCCTCTGAGACTCGGCCTCCTCCCTGGCCCGAGTCTCCAACTCAATCTCCTCTTCCAGCATTTGCCTGGAGCTCAGCAAATATCCGGTAAGTCGAGTTCGACACGAACTCCCGAATATCCCTCCTCAAAACGCCCAAAGACCAGCTCATGCGTGCCTGCTTCGTAGACACCTGCTCAGGGCAAAACATTGCCCTCTCATGGAACTTCCTGGTAACCACAGTAACCGAATCAGTACCATGCTTGAGGGTCAAGACTCATGTGCGCCGTTCCCTCTCCACCGGGGGAATACTCGTCTCTGAACATAGCAGTGAACCTCTCCCAGGTCACCTCTGAAATCTCCGCAAGAGTGAAGCTCGCCGTCACGAACTTCCACCAATCCTTGCCCCCAAGCGAAGCTGGTTCAGCGCCGAACGTACTTCAGATGCTCCGGACATGAACACGTATATAGCATCCTTCAATATCAAAAATCCACCTCATCGCAGCGATCGGATCCTGCATCCCGTCAAACTCTGGTGGGTTCATGTTGCTGACTCTCGAAGCAAAAGTCACCTCCCTGAGGTCACCTCCCTGAGGTTCTGGCTTCAGCTCCCTTCGCTAGCTGGCCAGCAGCGTGCCACAGGCCGCAGCCTCAGTCACCGCTGCGTACCGCTCATCAAAAGTCTCACTCCATGTGGTCTTGATAGACCAAACATCTCCGGAATCTCGGCTCGAATCGCCGCTGCCACCTCATCGTGGATCATCTGACGAAGCTCCTCGTCACTCACGCCGCTCGTATCAGGTCTGTGGCGTGTCC